CTGAAACAGTCTGCATGGTATGTTATTGGACTGTTATCTATGCTATTAATTCTCTATTGTATTGTGATGATAGGATGTCGCATCCTCAGAACGAGATTCTGAGAATATAAAACTGTAAAACCATGATGCAAAGAAAAGAGCACCGACTCCAATTTTAAATCAAATTAAAGCAAGCTTGTAATTCCGACTAGCCAGGATTGTCCCTCTCCTGAAACCCGTGGGATAGAAGACTACTCCGGCTCTCTAGGAGTGCAGCTTTATAGCACAGAAAGTTGTAAAAAGAGGGGAGTGTCTTGAGAACTTACAGATAACAGGATTTTGACAAGCATAATACAAAGGCAGGTAGTAGGTTAATGGTCTAAATGGTTCAGCACTTAGGGAGTAAATTTAGATCCCAACATCAGAATTTTTGAGGCGCTATTAGGGTTTCAGAGAGAGTTGTTATGTGGTCAGGGAAAGCCAGAATTTATGAGGCGCCACTAAGTTTTCAGAGAGGGTTTTTATCTGGTCGGGGAAAAGCAGGCATGGGTGAGTTCAAGGCACGGGCAGGCATTCCAAGTAAGTTTAAAACATCAAAATATGGCCAGGTGAAATAGAAATCCTAATATTTTACAGAAAACAGAAATGAATCTTTTATAACTTTTGACAAGATGGCTCCTAATCTTAAGAGGGAATTAGGCTGGGTTTATCAAAAACAGCAGCTCATCATTTGCAAAGTAAAAAGAAGGACTATGTGGTACACCACCCATGACGCTACTTGAGTGTTCTTTTACTCAGTACTGGCCCATGGAGCTTAGGTCTCCACTTGGGAAGGATCCCAGCATCCCTGTGTGTAGACTGCCCAGGGAGTCTAGGAGATCTGCCCTGCTCTACCAGTGGGACAGCTTCCCTAGCTCCAGACTCGGGTGTGACCCATTAGGCTTGGGCAGCCCACCTCCTCCTTATTTAGCAAATAACATTCCATTGAAATCCTTCTGAAGCCTCCTTGTATTAATAAAGAAAACACAAACCACAGTTCTCAAGCACTCTCTCCTTCCAGTGTGGAAACAGGACCCCTAGGGTCCCACCCTTACTTTTTAAAATTATTTCTGAGTCTTGTGATTTTTCACCATATTTCTCAGCCAGCACATTTTACACAAGGAAAACCCAAATTTCAAAGCCTGTGTGGGATGCAGGAGAGAAGTATAAGAATCAAGAGACAGGCTCTTGCAAAGTTGCTGAGGCTGGCCTCAAATTTGCAGTCCTCCTGGCTCAGCCTCCCAAGTGACTAAGATAAAAACTGTGAGGCACCACACCCAGCATATTTCATACATTTATGCTATAAAAAAAAAGATTTTTAATGCCTCCAATGTCCTACCCACATCCAGCACGAGTAGTGGGAATGGGGTTCCTCTTGGTGGAATGAGCTGGCTACAGAATGAAAACTAAAAAAGGTAGGGCAGGAAAAAACAAAAACAGAAGGTGATTTTAAAAGTGGGGGCAGGACAGGCTAGCAGATCTCAGGGATCAAGCTTCCACACTGAAATGAGTCAAGTGGAGCCCGTACTTGCTTTATGTATATCAGGGAATATCAAAGGTTTTCCATGGAATGTTCTTTGCCAAATAAGGTAGACGTGGGCTGTCCAGTTCCCAATGAGTCACGCCCAACTCCAGAGCTAACAGAGCGTCCTCCTCGTAGAGTGGAGATAGCGGGATAGTTCCCCAAGGAAAAACCTAAATCTCCATGGCTCGATTCCGAGTGAAGACCCTCAAGTAATTCATGGAAGTGAAATTTTTATATATTTATATATGGATCTTGTATCCTACACACTTAATAAACTCATTTATTAGTTCTAGTAGCATTTTGTGCTATTAGAGTTCCACCAGAGTTTCTGCACTGAAAAGTGCGTCATCTGTGAGTAACAATAGTTTCTGCTCCTTCCACGTATTGCACTTTTCTGAGTGGCCTGGCTAGAACTCCCATTGGTGTGCTACGAATGAGTGCTGGGAAGACACCTGCTCTTATGGCAAAGCATTCAGTCTTTCACCATTATGTCAGATGTCACTTATAGGTCCTTTATAGACAGACGGCCTTTGTCATGTTGAGGACATTCCTTTCTATTCTGAGATTGGCAACAGGGCTTGCTTTGTTTTGATTATTTTTCTCTTTTGGGAATGGATATTGTATCTTTTCAAAAATTTTCTGAATGCATTAGGATAATTGTGGGAGGCCAAAGTAGCAGTGACTGAGTCTGTCTCCCCTTCTGATTGGTGTGGCATCATGGGTCAACCCAGCCGATAGCCCCAATCTTTAGGGTCCCAGCGACTGTGTCTTCTTGCATGGGCGTGCCTTCCTACATCCCCACGGGTGGAGCTATGCTCACCTGTTCCTTTGTAATATCACCCCTTTCCCTGTTTGGGATAGAATGTTCCATGGAAACACCTTTTGTGTGTCCCCTTCTCTTACTGTGCCCTTGGTTGGGGCCTACCCAGGTGTCAGTCAACCTGCTGACAGTAGACATCTGAAGCTGGACTCAGCCCCCTGAAACCTGACCCCTTGCCTTATTTGAATGGCTTCTCATCAATAAAAGAGGTCAGCACGTGTTCTCTCTCTTTCTGCGGACCCTTAAGGTCAGAGGAGCCATCACAGGGAGCCCATAGAAAAAGGTATCTCTGTCTCTTGTGTGGTTATTTCACACGGCCCAGTTAGCCCAGTTCCCCTGGAGTGACCCCTGAGTGTTTGAGCAACCCGGCAAATGGCGTCCCTGGGTGGGCAAAAAGTCTGAGTGTTTAAGTCGCCAGGAAAGCGACAGATAATGATATTGGGTTTTATTTTGAGTTTTTTAATATTGGAGATTATATTAGTTTTGTTAAAGCAACTGCTTTCCTGAAATAAACTCCACTTGGTCCTTTTACTATATAATTGGATTCAATTAGTTAAAATTTGGTAGTGTTTGTTTATTTGGTAGTATTGGAGATAGACCCAGGGGTGCTTTACCACTGAGCTACACTCCCAGGTCTCTTTATTTTTTATTTTGGTTCAGGGTCTCACTAGGTGGCTGAGGCTGGCCTTGAATTTGCCATCATCCCAAGCCACTGGGATTATAGGCATATGCCACCATATCCAGCTAAAATTCGGTTTTGAAAATGTTTGCACATTTGCAAAGAACTCATATCCAGAACTGATACACAACTCCTACGGTGCAATAAAAGACAAACAACCAACAGAACGTGGACAAGAGGCTCAAAGTCAAAAAAACTCCCAGCAAAAAGATGCTCCCAGGTGACCATTTGTGGGCACTGACAGGGCCACCCAACAAAGAAGGCACACCCATGGGTTCAGCATAGAGGGCACGCTCACAACCATCCATGAGGGCCAACAGGTCCATCTTCCCGGGTTTTGTCCACATCCTTTCAGACTCCCTGCCAACCTCTCCCTGCCAATGGCCTCTTCCACCTGCACTTTCAGCATCTCTAAGGCAGGGACAGTGGTGCTTTTCTTAACGGGACCTGGCCCCGTCCGTCAAGGCCTGCGGCCGCCGAGACCCGAACTACGTTTCCCAGAAGGCCTCGCGGTGCGGGCCGCCGCCTTCCGGGAGGGGCCGGCCATCTCCGCCTCCAGCCAGAGAGCGCTCGGCGCCCAGCCCCGGACCCCAGGCTCCGCAGTCGCAGCGCCCCGGCGGTGGGCGGGGCCTCGGGGCGGGGCCAGCCCAGGGGAGCGCCCACCTCCGCGGCGCCGGTGCGCGGAGCTCCTCGGCGGTGGGCCGCGGGTTCGATCCCTGGCGGAGCTGTTTTGCGTTTTCAGCTCACGACACTGTTCGGTGAAGCGCTTCCGGCATCTGGGTTCTCTAGAGAGTCACTTGGAGCGAGGAGCCACCCCCCCGCCCCCGGGCGAGGAGGTGCCTGCCCCCCAGAAGCCTCCAGGCAAGTGCCCCCCCCCCGCCCCCTCCCAAGGATCCTCCAGGCTAGTGCCCCCGGGCAAGGATCCTCCAGGCGGGGTGTCCCCAGGTGAGGTACCCCCGCAAACCAGTCCAGGTCCTGCACGAGGTGCAGTGCCAGTCGTGTCCCCCGAAGTCGCTGAGGTTCTTCCATGAGGTTTCAGAATTTGGGAGGACAGAGAGCGTCCGTATCCCCACGGACGCATGGCCAGTGCTCCCAGCTACCTGCCACTTTGATCATTTGAAAAGGAATCTCCAAATCCATACCACTTACCTACTGTGTGAAATCTCCAGATAAGGACCACTTTCTAACATAGCCATAATCCCATAATAGGCACTAAAAAAAATTAAAACCTGCTTTATTTACATCATTAACTATCTGGTATTCCGACATGTCATTATCTCATTTTAATAGTTTTTTAAAATCAGGATAAAATGAAAATCCACACTTTGTGATTATCATTCTGTTTTAGTACTGCCATTACTGAGATATAATTCACACCCTACAATTCATGAGTTTTAAGTATGCAATTTAATGGTTTTTTGTATATTCACAGTTGTGCAAAACCACCAAAATGAATTTTATGATTTCATTACTCCAGAAATAAATGCTGCACCCCTTAGTCATTACCCCCGCCCCGGGAAGCCTGTTTGGTTTGAATGCTTCTCCAGACCTTCATTTACACCTTTCGTCTGTTTTCATTTCTCCCGGGTTCCGCCCAGGAGTGGAATTACCAGGTAAGTCTACACTTAACCTTTCAAGGAAGTGACAGACGGGTTTCCATTCTGCATTGGCACCAACAGACTCCCACATCCTCCCACGTGCTTCCTCCTCCTCCTCCTCCTCCTCCTCCTCCTCCTCCTCACTTCACTGCCCTTTCCAAACATTTTTAATCGTGAAAATTTTGAGCACTACCTACAAAGAGGACCGTCCAGGACTGACCAGGTGCCCACCCTAAATCCAACAGTCATCAGCACCTTGCCTGTGTGCCTCACTTCTCTCTTGACCATTAAGTCTCTGGATCCTCACAGAAATGATGAGCCCCAGACACGCAGCCCTGGTGTCTTCTGTGAAGACGGGTTCTAGAGGCTTCGTGGAGCTGGCCTGCGGGAACACCTCCTCCAGGGCACCTGACCCTGCCTTTCCCGCTGAGCCCCGTGTCCTTGCCTCAGCCAGGCCAGGGTGTTCTGCTCAGGCCTCAGCAAGATGAAGTAGCACTTGGGGATGAAGACTCCCCCCAGAAGCCCTGAAGTGGAGGCCAGGATGGAGAAGGTCTCCACGGCCACAGTGGACTTGCCCCGGGCACTGTGGTACAGGGGCAGAAGGCTATCCAGACCCTGCAGAACAGCAGCATGCTGAAGGTCAGGGACTGGGCCTCACTGAAGGCATCAGGCAGACCTACACATTATGGACTACTCAGGCCAGGTGCAGCTTCAGAACTGCAATTCTGAACACCATGGAGTCCCATAGGATAGGCACAGCCTGAGAACTGCTGTTCTAAACACCATGGAGTCACTCAGGGCAGGCAAGTCTGAGAACTGCTATTATGTACACCATGGAGTCACTCAGGGGAGAAGCAGCCTAATAAGTGCTATTCTACACACCCTGGATGCCGCAGTCTGGCTGGGCACAATTCAGGAGCCACTTGTCAAAAGAAACGAACTTTATTTTTAGAACACACACTGCACCACACAGCTCCTCAGGAAAACCCTCAGAGCCCAACTGCCACCACCCGCTTCCCACCAGCCTCTCCACCTCCCCCACTCCTCCTGCTCTTGAGGCCGATTGGCTGGGTCGCATGGGTGGAGTCAAAAAAGTCCCCCAGTGAGCAGCTCCGTGGTCTGAAAGGGTGAGGAAACAGCCCAGTGAGCATCACCGCAGAGGAGCCAATCAGTTGGCAGCTAGAAGTTTGCTGGGGCTGCTGTGAGCCAATCATCAGCTGGCAGCTGGAAGTTTGCTGGCAGCTGGAAGTTTGCTGGGGCCCCTTCGGCTGTGGCTCTCAACAGTCTCTGCCTTGAATCCCGCTTGAAAGAGTGACTCCTTCCAGCATAGCCACCCCCCACGCAGTGTTTGGGAGATGCTGAACTAACAGGTGCCTGATAGTTATCTGAAATTCAAACTTGCACAAAGCACACGTATGCAAAGGTCATACATTGCTGGTCAAAACTCCAAATTCGGGACATGCTATGAAGTCTTTTGCTGTTTACCTAGAATGTGCTCCACTGGGATCCTGTGTCTGCTAAAGGGAGCAACCCCACAGTGATGTGCCTCACCTGCAGCAGGGTGACAGCAGGGACTCTGGCACCCTGTCCAGTGCTCCTGCTAGGATGCAGACCACAGGCATTGAGCTGGGCAGCGTGGATTCTGCTCGGCCTCTGTAGCTTGGCAGAGTGAGCGCCCCAGCCTCCACCCCTCCCTCTCACCTGCCAGGGCAGGAAGTGCCCAGAGTCTGCACACGTCCCATCTCAGGGCTCACAGGCCACCAGGTCCTGCAGGGCGTGGGCGATGCTGTAGACGGCCGTGTATGCGGTGTCCGCTTTACTCACTTTCCAGAAAGAATACTCCTGGCTTCGCAGACTTTCGTTCCCTGAGCAGAGCCGGACAACCCTTGCCACTGTGCCATTCTTGTGGGGCCACGTGCACCCAAAAGTGTCCTCCCAGAACCTCTGTATGAACATGTCCTCTGGGGTCCAGCTGGGGTGCAGGTGAGCCAAGAACTCGGGGAAGCCAGGCACCCGGCTGCTGTGAAACATGAGGCCGAAGGAGCCCTGCAAGACCTGGGAGACACCCGGCACATTGAGGGCCATGGCCAGGTGCAGAGTGCCCTTGCTGATCCAGACTTGGCCCGAGACCCGAAGACCCAGCAGCCCCTGCAAGATGAGCAGGAAATTTGAGTTGCTCAGGAAAACCAGAACTACTCTGCATCCTCTGGACAATGGTGGCTATCTTCTCCAGGGACTGCTGGGAAGGGACGTAGAGCTGGACCTCAATGCAGACGCCAGCCTGGCTAGGTTCCGGGGCAGCCAGAGAGCTGGCCTGCTGCCCAAAGTCATCATCCTGGGCCAGAATGTCCACCCAGGTCCATCAAAAGGGGAGCACCAGCTGGGTCACCGCATAGGAGGATGTGAGGTCACTGGCCAGGGTCCGAAGGAAGGATGGGAACTGGGTCTTGTCGCTGAGGATGGGCAGTGTGGATGAATAACTGACCTGAAGGGCAGTGGGAGAGTGCAGATGAGAGCCAGGACTCAGGCTCAGGCCCTCAGATTTGAACTGCAGAAGGTGGACACCCTGACAGAGAAGGAGTGGCCAGTTCCCCCCCCAGTTGCCCTGGACAAGTTTCCCAGTTTTGTCGCCAGAAGCATTTTGATGCTCTCAGAAGCATCGCCTGAGCACACAGGGCAGCTGGTCACCCAAGTTGGAGCACAGCTGGGTGCAGTCATCTCCTAAGAAACATGAGTGGCAGCCGCCAGACGGCCCAGCCCCAGCATCTCCCATGCTAATGGGGGTCTTGGGGTCTGGGGGCTGGTTGGGAAGGAGGTCCTGGAGTCTGTACCTCTGTCTCCCAGTCAATCGTGGCCCTTGGTATGCACCTGTGCAAGCACTGAGCCGCGTGTCTCAAGTGGGTGACCTGTGTGCCAGGAGTCGCATCTCAATCCCCACCATGAGGTGAAAAGACGAGGTGGCACGTGGCAGTGCCACTAGAGTGGGACTCGGAAAGGCGGTGGTGAGTGACGCTGTGGCATGAGTCCAGGGTTTGCCTGGCCTCAAACCCTGGCTCCTGGACCTGCAGGCTGGGTGAGCACGGCCCCTATTGCTCCTCCTCTGATCCTCAGCTTCCTCCGCTGTGCAGGGGCAGGGGCAGCACAGACTCGCTGCCGGGGAGAGGCTCTGGGGAGACTCACCTGGGGAAACCTGGAGAGCCCCAGCAGCCTGGCCATGGAGAGCGTCAGGACTGACCGCGTATCCCCCACCACGGCCACCCAGGGCAGGCTGAGTCCACAGGCATAGTTGGGGATGGGCTCCTCCTGCCCGGTGAGAAAGCTCAGCGTCTCCAACAGGGCTCCGTGCACCGAGTCCCCAGAGTTGCGGATGGAGAAGCCCAGGGTCAGGTTGGGCAGCAGGTGGACGCTCCTGTTGATCTCCTCGATGGCAAAAACAAAGCCCTGGGCCACCCGGTAGCCCCACAGGGACACACTGAGGGAAAGAAGCCCATGTTTATGGCTGGCCACAGGGCAGGAAGCGGCTCCTGGGCGTAGGGCAGAGGACAGGGACATGCACCTTCCAGGAAACCAGCACAGGCCCCCCTGGATGGCCTCCTCAGGACAGCTGCAGGGCAGGGCAGGAGAGGTCCAAGCCCAGAGCACTGCAGGGTGATGTCATAGAGCCAACCAATGTGTTTCAAAGTCTCCAGGAAAGCGCCTTTAAATGTCCACCTCACCAAAGGCGGGATCAGAGGGCTAAGCGCAGTCATGCCATGGTGGACACTAGGGCAGCACACCCCAGGGGACCCACACATGCACAGATAACCCTCGCCAACAACAGAAGCCACGGCGAGAACAACTGGGGGTCTCTTCATTTCCAGTGACAAGGCAAATGCGTGCAGTTATTTTGGGAAACAATTTGGCAATTTTCTTCTTTTTCTAGTTCTCAGAAGGGAGCCCAGCGGTGGGCCACCACTGACCCACATCCCAGCCCTTTCTGCATTGCTTTTGAGGCAGGGTCTCGCTCAGGTGCCCAGGATGGCTGGGAACTGCCTCCTCCAGATTCAGCTCCCGGCTGCTGGGATCACAGGCGAACGCCCCCAAACCCGGGGACAGGCATCTTAGCGACCTAAACATGCACATGTTCACACACAGCAAAAGGGCTGCGCTGGGATCAGGGGCATCCAAGCACAGACGAGGTGCAGACACACAGGCCAAGGGACCACAGGTGCTGCCAGCTCATGAGGAGATGAGCAGGCCACAGGGACAGTGCGTCACAGCACTCCAAGGCTGAGGGGAGGCCCTGCTGAACACGGCGGGGCGAAGGCCGTGTCTTACCTGTGGCACACACCAGGACGGCAGTGGCACAGCAGCCCACAAACCACAGCTGGGCACTCTAGACAAGGGACATGCTGAGGAGGTCCCCAGGGGACCACCCACCAGCACTGGACACACACAGGACAGACCCTGAGGAAGGCCCTAGGGGACCACCCACCAGCACTGGACACACACAGGACAGACCCTGAGGAAGGCCCTAGGGGACCACCCACCAGCACTGGACACACACACAGGACAGACCCTGAGGAAGGCCCTAGGGGACCACCCACCAGCACTGGACACACAGGACAGACCCTGAGGAGGGCCCTAGGGGACCACACACCAGCACTGGACACACAGGACCACCCTTCTGGAGTCCCCGAAAAGTCTCCTTGTCCATCAGGGACTCCCCACCCAGCACCCCAGCACCTACAGTGAAGATGGCAGCCCACAGGGGCAGAAGTAAAATTGAATAATGTGACATCGTGGAAACGGAAGATGGAGGAGCTACCCCCCACACACACCACATCCCCTGGACGGTCAGAACGGGAGCCCCTGCCTGGCGATCGCCAGCTTATTGGCCCATGAAGTGTGACCCTGGAGAGAGTCCACGAGGGCAGGGAGCAGGGCCCACAGCCACATGCCCGCAGGGGGACTGGATGGCCAGTGCCACAGCAGCCCCCGTGTGGAACTGTGCCTGGCGATGACAGCCCTTTGGTCTGGGAATGTGCCCTGGACCAGGCACCTGGGGCTGGAGGCCCATCCGGCTCTGCGGGCCTCCTGGCCACGGGCTGGGGCAGGCGCCCTGAGCCACTGATCCCAGCCCTACTACAAGTTTCACGTTCTTCCCTGGGCTCCGGGCTCCCCGCGGCAAGGGCACAGCTCTGGGAGCCCTCTGTGGGTCCTCATGGCGTTCTGGGGGACTGCAGGCCCCGGGTCCCTAGGACAGTGCTTTGGAGAGAGACCCCAGGAGACAAAGAGCCCTGACCCAGGAGCCACAGACTGTGGCACTTGGAGAGGGCGGTTCCGAGCTGAGTGGCCAGGGCCAGCCGCCAGGAGCAGGGCCCCTTCAGCCTGACTCTGGGGTCAGGGCCCAGGTCCAGGCGGGAGGAGTGAGGCTGGGATCAAGGGTGGCCGCGCGTCCTGCGGCTCTGCAGAAGGAAAGCTCTCAGCCACCCTGGGCGGCAGGGACAGCTCCCCGTGAGGCCGGTTCACCCCGCAGGGTGCGGCAGGCTGTGGTTCGCGGGAAACCTGGGCCCTGGCCGGTCGCGGTGGGCGTGCACCATGGCCGCGCGTGTCCTCCAACAGTGGCCCGAGTCCCGAGTCGCGCTCCCCAGGCCCTTCCCGGTGCACGGGGCGGGACGGCAGCGCTGCGGAGCGCCGCGAGGGGGCGCGCTGCAAGCCTCCGCGGGAGCCGCCCGCGCCGGTGTCGCCCTGTGCCACGCGGGAACGGCCACCTACGCCCACCGCATTGCCCCGCAGCGTCCAGAACAGGCAACTCCGCGGGGACAGAGCGCGGCAGTGGTGGCCAGAGGCTGCAGGGGACGCTGGGGGCCATGGGGTGATGGCGCCCCGCGGGGAACAGGTAGGAGCCAGGCGGCACAACTCGACACAGCCGAGCCCTGGACGAGGGTCGCGTGTTCAAGTCTGCGTGCCACCTGTGAGTCCCCAGGCTCCACCACTGACCCTCTGCTGCCGGCCGGAAGCCGTGCTGACACGACATGGAGCCACAGGTTCTCACATGCATCACCAGGGCCAATGCTCTAGGGACCCTAGGTGCCTCCCACGGTGACAGCGCACTGCGGCCAGCCACCAGGGCCAGGAGAGCAGCACGGCACCTCGGGGACTCTGGTGACACCTCCCCCACAGAACTTCAAGGGATACTTGTGATGCCTGTCACACAGCACCTCAGAGGACACTAGGGACACCTGTCACACAGCACCTCAGGGGAAACTTGTGATGCCTGTCACAGCACCTCAGGGGACACTCACAATACCTGTCACACAGCACCTCAGAGGACACTCACAATACCTGTCACACAGCACCTCAGGGGACATTCATAATGCCTGTCACAGCACCTCAGGGGACACTCACAATGCCTTTCACCCAGAACCTCAGGGGACATTAGGGACACCTGTCACACAGCTCTCAGGGGACACTTGTGAAGTCTGTTACACAACTCCTCAGGGGACACTAGGGACGCCTGTCACACAGCTCCTCAGGGTACACTAGGACACCTGTCACATAGCACTTGTGATGCCTGTCACAGAACCTCAGGGGACACTCACAATGCCTGAGGACACTAGGGACACCTGTCACACAGCTCTTCAGAGGACACATGAAACCTATCAGCTCCTCAGGGGGCACTAGGTAAGCCTGTCACACAGCACCTCAGGGGACACTAGGGACACCTGTCACACAGCACCTCAGAGGACACTAGTTATGCCTGTCACACAGCTCCTCAGGGGTTCTCACAATGCCTGTCACAGTACCTCAGGAGACACTGGTGATGCCTGTTAACCAGCACCTCAGGGGACATTCATAACACCTGTCACAGCAGCAGGAGGTGCTACATACCTCAGTACTACACAGTTCCATGCCATTGACGTGACACTACATCTCACGTCCGTCCACACTTCCCCAGGCTGAGCTGCTGCATGCCCAGCCTGTAGGTGTCTCTGTGCAGAGTTTGACAACTTCTCATTCTTTATAATAGATTCGTATATATTCTTGATAGTGGATAATAAAAGGCCATTTAATCTAATATTCAATACATTCATGACACCTTCCTCTAATTTTTTTCAATATTTCTAGACTACAGGGTTCATCTTTGAGTTTTTCCAAATTGTCAAAAATATCCCAAACACACACACACACACACACACACACACACACACGAAAACCCCTGTGTAAGTGGACCTGTGCGTTTCAAACCCAAATTGTCAGGGATCCACCATATGCCAAAACGTTGAACTGCACGCTTAGTTAACTTGACGGTACGTGAATTTGTAAATCAGCTTTAAAAGCAGAATGACTGCTTGCTGGGGTCTGGGAGGGCCAGAAACGGGCTTGTTTTGAGTGAATTTCATCTCCATGAAGCTGTCGTGATGCAGAGAGACAGAGGGGAGACAGTACAGCTCACCACCTTGGGAAAACGCCACAGGGGAATAGCCTGGGGGCACTGGCCACCGCGGAGCGGGTGGAGGCATGGACTCACATCCACACAGGGGGCAGCACACAGGGCCCACGGAGATGCTACTTCGGCCACAGAGGGTACACTTTACAATTGAGAGACTGTCTGCATTCAGGCTGTCCCAACTTGGCACAACTGATGTTTTGCACCAAATCACTCTTTGTGGTCGGGCTTTGTCCACTCTGTGGGCTGTTGTAGCAGCCTCCTGAGGGGGTAAGTCTGGCATTGAGATGCAGGTGGACCTCCCCCTTAAGCTCTGCCAAAGGTCCCACACAGCACCTGAGATGGGTGTGACCTGCCAAGATGCCAATCAACCTGCTGACTGCAAGACATCACAAGCAAGACTCCGCCCTTGAAACCTGATCCCTGCCTTTGATGGACCCCCTTTAATAAACCACCAGAGCCATTTTGTCTTTGTCCAGTTCCAGAACCCACGTGGACTAGATCTATCAGGGGCTTCACATTCCATAAATATATTTCTGAGTATATGTGCTTTGTTATTTACTGAATATTTGAGACTGTAATTCTTAGGGTGGTTTGGGTCATCCTGGGCAGGAAGGACCCCTTAATGAGACACTGGCCATCATCCCCCCATAGGGGCTGACTAGTGTAATATAGAATGTTTAGCAGGATTTCTGGGCTCAATCAGGTGACACCAAAATGACCCCTTGTCCTTACCACGTCCGTCTCCAGACACTGCCAAATGTTGTGGGGCAGAGTGGAAAACTGGCCCCAAATGAGGACCAGAAGATCTCCCCATGGGTTGGAATCTGTGCGGAAAGGCACAGGCCAGTGGCTGAGGTGCAGCTGTGCTCAGCAGTTCTGGGGTGTTTAGCATGTTCTCACAGCTGCCCAGCCATCACCACAATCTCACTCCAGAACACACTCACCACCCAAAACAAGCCCATTTCTTGCCCTCCCAGACCCCAGCAAGCAGTCATTCTGTTTTTAGTTGATTTATTTTTGAAACTGGGCTTTTGAGTTAGACTTCATTTGGGATAAAGTTTTTTGCTGCTTACAAAAAGTTTGTAAATCTTTGTCTGGCACTAGGCTACCTCCCAATGGATCTAGGATTCAGGTGGCCTCTGATGGCTGGTGTCTTTCGACTCTAGAGACAAACTGTCACGACCCCTTGCCCGCAAGGAAGACGCAACTCGGGAATCTTCTTTCAACAGTTTATTCAGGCCCTTGATATTTCTTCTTCTCTCTTGGATGCCCCTCCCAGCCTTAATAAAGCATCCCAAGCCCCAATGCAAAGCTGCCGCGTGGAGCTTTCTCACAGGGTGGTGAAAAATCATGTGCCAACTTTCCCAGATAAGGAGTTGTTTGTCACAGACCACAGCGGAGCCAGCGTCATCTTGTAATGGTGACCATAATCTGCAGAAACGGCAGAAGCGGCTCACCACAGTTCCCCCTTTTCTGTTTTCTTCAAACAATACAGGCGAGAGTAGAGGTCCTATCCCACTGTGCAGAAGTGGCTGCATAGTATGACTCAGTCCTAAGGAGGCGCCTTCCCCAGATCTGAAGCCATATCAGCCGACGCCTTTTTTCGTGGGGCGGGGCGTGGACGCGTCTAACCCGCATGCAATAGGACATGCTCTCCTTGAGGTCCACGTCAAGGATCACTCAAGTGCAGTGCCTTGCCTCGCATCCTGTATCGTGACGATGGTGGACGAAGGGGGATAGCTGAGGCTGAACTGTGGCTGTTTATAACGACAAACAAGTTGACAGCACCCTGAAAGAAAGGCACGAACTTCAAGGCGATAGAAAAGCACTAGTGTGGAAACCCATCTGCGTGCAATGGCAGTAAGACCGGCAGAGTGCAAGGGCTTTCCAACACTAAGAGAATAACAAGGAAAGTCATGTCGATCCCAGTGCAATGTTATAATAACTTGGGGTGTAACGACCATGACAAAGGTTTACTGCTTAAGATGCGCAAGCCAGACTTGAGGCGAGTTGCCATTTTCTAAAGCTGCAAGAGCTTGTATGATCATAGCCTTTTCTTGTGCATGGCGAGTTTTAAGGCGACAGAGAAGCCACAAACAAAGCACAACACCAAAGCAACACATTGCACCAAAAATGCCCACTCCCACCCATTCCTTAAAAAAGGAAAAGGCAGAGGATAGCCAACTGGTGAATTGACCCAAAGTCACTGGTTCGACACGGGTGCTATTCAAAACAGCAATCCGAGTTAGTTGAGACTGGATCAAGTTTTCTGCTTCCATGGACCAGGTTCCGGATAGATACTCCCCGATGATGCGGGAGGCATTTCTGGAATCATAAAATCTGACAGAGGTTATACATAAATGTGCACGTTGGTCAACACAACCCAAATGTACTAGGTCAGACAATTCCTCAACTTGAGCTTGAAGCAGATCTATCCTTTGATTAGCAGCCAGAATCCCAGATAAAATGTGTTGATTAATTCTACTTTGAGATTCAAGTATGGTGGATGTTTGTTGAATAACCTGATTAATAGTGGCAGCAGTTTGTACCTGACTGGCCATGGCTACTCCAGCTGTAACTGCTGCAGCAGCAGATACCGCCACAGCTGTCACTATAGCTGCCATAATTCCAAAATCTCTATGGGCTCTAATCAGTTCAACAATAGGAAATGACTCTGGATCTGCAGTAACCGGGATCGGGACAAAAGTTGGAATTTTCATAACCATTGCCGTAGTCCAGGAGCCATTCCAACACTCAGACAAATAACAGGTAATATTAGAACAATTAAGCATCCCCTGTGATGTAACATTAGCCAAAAGAAACAGGAACAGAGATTGGAGACGGACTGCTGCGGAGGGTAATGTAGCATTAGATAATTGTGAATTATTTGCAGAAATTTTAAGCCTCCTACCTCGCTCCGAGTCTTGGGTACTGTCAGAAACATTAAACAGCCAACTTTGGACTCCTAATATTTCCCTGGGGAAACACAAGCGCGGACTAGACTAGCCCAATCTGAGGGAGTCATGCAAAATCTAGTAAGTCCCTCCACCTGAGTGAGAGTGAAAGCGGCATCTATGCCATAAGTGCGGACAGATTCTGCCAAGGTTTTAATTATCTTAAAGTCTAAAGGCTCATGATATCTTCCCCTGTTATTGTCCTGAAATACAGGGTATGCAAGTCCCATATCTGTATTAACTGTCCTCCAAACTTGTGCATGAAAAGATCTCCCGGAACCTTGGCTCCCCCCCACATACGGAGGTGGGGCAATCGGCACCATATCTTCTTCTAGATATTCTACCTCCTCCTCCTCAGAGTTTTGTTGACCGATGTTAACTCCCTTCCCCTTCTTACAGTAGGCCTGCGTGCCCTGTGTCTCCTTTTTCTTCTTTTTCATTTTTATCTTATGTAGTTGTTGTAACAATATATCAAGGTCCTCAGAACTCTCTGAGTCGCTTGTGTTCTCAGGCGTTTTTAATTCGGTCAAGTCTGGGTAGAGCCTTCTCCTATTTTTATCTTCAGGCTCTTTTGCCTTCTCACTACTGTTACTTTTAATACTCTCTGCCACTTCACTACATGATCCTTCA